AAAATTTCCCAAAAGACAGGTGCGAGCCCCGGGGGCACATATGTTTCCGCAGGGGGGATCAACAAGAATTATTATTCCGTGGTGATATTTGAAAAAAACAAATGCAACAACAAGCATGTTTAGGACTGTTCGCTCTTGTCTGCTCGAGTGTCCGTGAACGCGTCTTTCCCAAACCCTCGATACCCGCCCTATTCGTTTTCGATCGTACCCCTTTTGGGGGGTACACCTTTCTTCCCTGCAGGCCGGGCCCCGGCAAGCGGCGGGGCGGCCGCGCACCGTCGGCCTGGCCAGCGGCAGCACTGATCGGCGGCAGCCCGACCCCAAGGGGGACGGACAGGGGACCGACCACGACGACAAGATCGACGACGACGACGACGTCGACGACGACGGCGACGAGCGAAAGCGAGAGCGAGAGAGAGAACGACAGCAGGGCCACGAAGGGCACGAAGTAGGCCACGCAGGGCGACAGCGGGGACACGAAGGGAATGCGTATGGGGCCACGAAGAACGCGAACGAGCGGGGGCCACGAAGGGCATACGTATATTGGGCCGCGGAGGGCAAGGACGGGGCCACTGAGGGCAGCAACGGGGCCACGAAGGGCAGCGAAGAGGCCAAGAAGGGCGACAGCGGGGCCACGAAGGGCATGCATATGGGGCCACGACGGGCGCGGACGAACGGGGGCCACGAAGGGCATGCATACATGGGGCCACGAAGGGCCGCGAAGGGGCCACGAACGGTTGCAACGGGGCTACGCAGGGCAGCGAGGGGGCCACGAAAGGCTGCAACGGGGCCACGAAGGGCAGCGAGGGGGCCACGAAGGGACGCAGCAGGGCCACGAAGGGCAGCGAGGGGGCCACGAAGGGCTGCAACGGGGCCACGAAGGGCAGCGAGGGGGCCACGAAGGGACGCAACGGGGCCACGAAGGGCAGCGATATCCCGATTCCTAAATAATCTGTTAACAAAGCTAAAAACAACAATCAGTTTAAGACTGTTCGCCCTTATCTGCTCGAATGTCCAATAACGCGTATTTCCCAAAGCCTCGATACCCGCCCTCTTCGTCTTCTATCGTGCTCCTTTTGGAAGGTATACCTTTCTTCCCTGCATGCCGGGCCCCGGCAAGCGGCGGGGCGGCCGCGGACCGTCGGCCTGGCCAGCGGAAGCGCTGATCGGCGGAGCGGCCGCGGACCTTTCGACCCGACCCCAAGAGGGACGGACTGGGAACCGACCACGACGACGACGACGACGTCGACGACGACGACGACGACGTCGACGACGAGCGAAAGCGAGAGCGACAGAGAACGACAGCAGGGCCACGAAGAACACGAAGTAGGCCACGCAGGGCGACAGCGGGGACACGAAGGGAATGCGTATGGGGCCACGAAGAGCGCGAACGAGCGGGGGCCACGAAGGGCAGATAATGCGAGGCCACAGAAAGCAACGATGGGGTCACTGAGGGTAGCAACTGTGTCACGTAGGACAGCGAGGGGGCCACGAAGGGCGACAGCGGGGCCACGAAGGGCATGCACATGGGGCCACAACGGGCGCGATTCCTGGGTGCCTGGGTGTCGGGAGCGCGGCACTTGAGCAAATTGCAGGAAATTCCAACGCAGGGCGATATTCTCGAGCAAATTGTAAACAAATCTCCAGCGAGAGCGCGACTCCAGAGCGCCGGGGGAGCGATTCCTGAATAAATTCTAAAGAAATCCCAGGCGAGAGCGCGAATCCAAAATAAAATGGGAGGAAATCTCGGGCGGGAGCGGGGGTGCTGGCTAAATTGTGAGGAAGTCTCAGGCGGGAGCCGTTGTTGTTGTTGTTGTAACCCAAGGGCCAGGGGCACAGCTTGAGCATCAAGACTTTCCCTGTCAAAAAACAGGTTGCGAGCGCCGAGGGGCAAAATTTGATATATAGAGAAAACCGTATGCACCCGTGAGGGTTGATCAACAATAACTATACTCTTCATAAGTGAGACTTCAACAACAACATCAACAACAACAATCAAATTAAAACTGTTCGCTCTTATCTGCTCGAATGTCCGTTGACGCGTAGTTCCCAAACCCTCGATACCCGCCCTCTTCGTCTTCGATCGTACCCCCTTTGGAGGGTATACCTTTCTTCCCTGCAGGCCGGGCCCCGGCAAGCGGCCGGGCGGCCGCGGACCGTCGGCCTGGCAAGCGGCAGCGCTGATCGGCGGCAACCCGACCCCAAGGGGGACGGACAGGGGACCGACCACGACGACGACGACGACGAAGACGGCGACGACGACGACGACGACGAGCGAAAGCGAGAGCGAGAGAGAGAACGACAGCAGGGCCACGAAAGGCACGAAGTAGGCCACGCAGGGCGACAGCGGGGACACGAAGGGAATGCGTATGGGGCCACGAAGAGCGCGAACGAGCGGGGGCCACGAAGGGCAGATAATAGGGCCACGGAAGGAAACGACGGGGCCACTGAAGGCAGCAACGGGGCCACGTAGGACAGCGAGGGGGCCAAGAAGGGCGACAGCGGGGCCACGAAGGGCACGCACATGGGGCCACAACGGGCGCAGACGAGCAAGGGCGACGAAGGGCATACGTATATTGGGCCACGAAGGGCAAGGACGCGGTCACTGAGGGCAGCAACGGGGCCACGAAAGGCAGCGAGGGGGCCACGAAGGGCGACAGCGGGGCCACGAAATGCATGCATGACGGGCGCGGACGAGCGGGGGCCACGAATGGAATACATTTACGGGACCACGAAGGGCAGCGAGGGGGCCACGAAGGGCTGCAACGGGGCCACGACGGGTAGCGAGGGGGCCACGAAGGCCTGCAACGAGGCCACGAAGGGCGCCGAGGGGTCCACGAGTGGCCGCAACGGGGCTACAAGGGCAGCGAGGGGGCCACGAAAGGCTGCGACGGGGCCACGACGGGCAGCAAGGGGGCCACGAAGGGACGCCATGGGGCCACGAAGCGCAGCGAGGGGGCCACGAAGGACTGCAACGGGGCCACGAAGGGCAGCGAGGGGGCCACGAAGGGCGACAGCGGGGCCACGAAGGGCAGCGAAGGGGCCACGAGGGGCTGCAACGGGGCCACGAAGGGCAGCGAGGGGGCCACGAAGGGCTGCAACGGGGCCACGAAGGGCAGCGAGGGGGCAACGAAGGGCTGCACCCGATTTTTAAATAATGTGTGAGACAGTCATAGGCGTGAGCGCGACTCCTGACCGCCTGAATGTCGGGAGCGCGGGTTTGAATAAATTGGGAAAATTCCAACGTAAGGGCGCTATTCTTAAGTAAATTGCAAGCACGTCTCCAGCGAGAGCGCGACTCCAGAGCGCCGAGAGAGCGATTCCTGAATAAATTGTAAAGAGATCCCAAGCGAGAGCGCGATTCCATTATAAAATGCGAGGAAGTCTCAGGCGGGAACGGGGGTCTTGGCAAAATTGTGAGGACGTCTCAAGCGGGAGCCGTTGTAGTTGTAACCCGGGGGCCAGGGGCACAATTTGAACCTCAAGACTTTCCCTGATAAAGAAACAGGGTGCGAGCGCTGGGAGGGGCAATTCAATTGAAAAAACAGCATGCACCGGTAGGGGGGGGATCAACAATAATTGTTCTCCAGAAATGAAAGCTCACCCCCGGGGTCGGGAGCGGATGCGCTGGCTCCACCACAGGGGAGGAGGCCGGCGTTGCCCCCCCGGTCAATCAGGAAGGGGCAAAGGGAACGACAACAACAACAACAACAACAACAACAACAACAACAACAGCAACAGCAACAGCAACAACAAGGACAGGGACCTTTCCTGGGCCCGGCGCTCGGGCTCTCCTCCAAGGGGGGCAGGAATCGTCCCTGGGCCCCGGGGTCCCCAACCCCACCCCCCCAGACAACAACAACAACAACAACAACAACAACAACAACAACAATCATTTTACCCGAACGCGTGGTGTTCTCCCCAGTGCCAGGGTTTTCATACGACACCAGGCAATACCCCCACTTCGTGGGGGGGCATTACAAGCTCTACCAAATATCCAAACGACTCTTCGCGACCACCCAAACCCAGCTTCCCGCCCTATGACGTTGGGACACTTCACTTCGTGGCGTGCGGACGACCGTGGCTACTACACTGGCGTGGGGTACACACCCACAGAACTTGGTCACTTATTCGGGGCGCGCATGTGCCCAGCATGGTGCAATTGTGCCATACAATACATAATACAGAGAGACAGAGAGAGAGACAGAGAGCAGACAGAGAGAGAGACAGAGAGAGCGGCGCAAAAAACGAATGTGTCCCGCATGGTATTATTTGACAGGGATGATGGCCCTGGCAGGTGCGCAACCGTTGTCGCAGAAGTTCGAAAAAGTTGCTCGCAAAAGCCCGTTTGACAGAAATGTTTAAAAAGTGTTGGGTTTCCTACGAATCCGCAAGAGCGCGCGGGATGAGATTTTGACATTTTTTTGTTGAAAAACCATTGGTTTTTTGATGTTTTTATGTTAAAATCGCTCCGAACACTAAGCTTTTGGAAGGATTTCGTCTTGCGCGCGCGAATGTCCACTTTACCTTATTTTTTGCAAGGGATTCTTGAAATTTGATTATATTAGAACAAGAAATGTCATTTTATAGTGTTTTTTGCAAGGGAAAGCGGGGGGGAACAAAACAACCGGATCTTGATCACATCGAATTACCTGAGGCTTCCTCACGAAAATGATGAAAATGTAGCTGCGGCCTAGGCGGCGCAGGGGGGCCGTGCACCAGGGGTCCCAACAATAATTATTCTTTAGAATTAATAATGTTCAACAACAACAACAACAACAACGACAACAGCAACTACAACAACAACAACAACAACGTCGGGAAAGGAGTCCCTCATGACTCGGGTACTGACCTCTGTCGTGTTACTGATGGGCTGCATGGGAAATATTGTGGGGTATTTGGGCCAAGAGGGATGTGAAGGATGACACGCTGGTGGGCACGCGGAGCAAGAAACGGCGCAGCCGTTCTTCTTCGTTTCGCGTGTGTACCTATTTTTCCTCGCGACTCGCACCTTGAACCAATGTTTACGGACGACGCCGAATCTGGAGCGGGAAGGGCGTTGCCACCCCTACCCCCTACCGTTGCCAGAAGGGCGAGCCCACCACACACTCGCAGAACTGTGCACTGATGTCCCGGCCGCATGGCCGATAGAAGATTGGCCGGCATACCAAATCATGTATTCTTAGACATGCGAGGCAAATCTATGCCGCGCTATGCTGTGTCTCACGCACCACGCTGCACGGAAACTTACAATCGCAAGCTCGAGTACGATCTTGCGTATTCTCGACATGTGCACTGGCAACGTGTACGGCGACACAGGGGCGGACTAATCCTTCCCCCCCCCAATTGTCACGACAACTCTCTTGCTAATGGTGCCGTCCCACGAAACACACACACACACACGCCTGTGAGGGAGTATTCCGCCATTTTCCGAATATTGTCATGACGTCTTGGCGCCGTTTGCGCCTCTTCCGGCGAGAACGGGACCGAGCGGGCGGGGAACGCGCAGCGTCTCGAATAACCCTCCCAGCAGAATGCGCAGGCTGTGCCCCTGCGCCCAGCCGCGCAAGTACTCCCCGCCTCGCCCCCGACACACTTGCCCGCGGCGCCGTGGCACTTGAAGACCGAGAACGAATCGTCCGCCGCGTAGAAGCCCGCAGCCACCATGACGTCGTCCTTGCCGCCGCAGACCAGGCCAGTGATGCTGCTGTCGCCGCACTCCACGCACTCGCCGTCGACCTCTCTGAACCCTTGGTTACAGCCGCAAGACGAGGCATTTTGAGCACCACGCACCGGCACCCACTTGTACGCACCCGCCACGATCGCCCACTCGGAGGTGATCTGGTCGGTCGGACACTCGTCGCAGGTGTCCTTCGAGTACAAGCCCCCCCCTAACCTGACGCCAAGGCCCCTAACCTGACGCCGCCCCCTCCGGCAATGGACCCGGCGCTGTTGAACGTAATCTGACGCCAGGTCATAGCCTGACGCCACCCCACCGGCACCGCCATCCCCTCGGCCAGGGTGCCACTGGAGCCCACAGGCAGCGGGGCTGGCGTCAGGTTGGGTGCCTGGCATCAGGTTAAGGGGGGGGTCAACAGAAACAGCAAAGACACAAAGCTTCGGAGCTCCGCGCGGACTCCTCGGATCTGTGCCGGGCCCTCCTGGCGGCGCCTCCGGCGCCGTCCCTGGCGCGCGTGGGGGGAGGGCTGGCGCCGATCTAAGAAAGCTGGCCGCGCGGACCTCCGAGCGCCTATGTAGTCTATGCCTTCTGCTCTTTTTCTTCCTCTTCCAGTCCTGCCCGGTCTCGCTCTGGTACGTGCCCACTGCGCACAGCTCGCACTCCTCCATCCCCTGCACGGAAGTCACACTGCCCGCCAGGCAGGGCATGCACTGCTGCTTGCCCGAGTCCCTGTAGCGGCCTGGCTCGCACACCTCGCACTCCGAGACGAGGAGGCCGTCGTCGACGTAGCGCGAGAAGGTGTCCGCAGCGCACTGCGTGCAGCTGGTGTTCTGGCCACCGAGGGGGAGGACACAGTATACAGAGAAGAGAAGAGAGAGGAAAGAGACGAGAGAGAAGGAGGAGGAGGAGGAGGAGGAGGTGGAGGAGGAGGAGGAGGAGGAGATGGAGGAGGAGGAGGAGGAGGAGGAGGAGGAGGAGGAGGAGGAGGAGGAGGAGGAGGGGAAGGAGGAGGAGGAGGGGGAAGGCGGAGGCGTGTTCTGGCCACCGTAGCCCGACTTGCACCGGCACATCGACTCTGGTGCGAAGTGGTGGGGGGACACCGCCTGGCTACCCCTGATCTTGCAGAGCTGCGTGCACTCGACCCCCTCCTCAGGAGAAGAAATGACATTGCACAAGCATGAACTCTCGGAGGCCCGCGCGGATTGCTTCGATAGACAAGCGCGCTCCACTGCTCGCAAAGTAACTACTCGCAAATGGCATTGATCCGCCGCGGGGGATTCACGAACCACTGCATCGGAGCAGCCATGCGCCTCTCGGACGTTGGCGAGCAGGCACTCTGCGAGCCGTGGCACGCGCTCGGTGCCTTGACCGGCGCTGGACCCGCCCCCCCGGCGCGCGCAGAACGCCAGGGGAGGGGCTGACGGCGCCGCCATGGGGCACAGCGCAGGCCCGAGAAATCCGCACGGAGCTCTGGCAGCTCATGGTGATCCCCGACTCGCGTTTCGCCAGAGGGTTCTCGTAATTGTGAGCAATGGCCACAGGAGAGCCCCGAATGGGGGACGGGGAGCCGGAGAAAGCCGGTGCCAGCAGCCGCTTCGCCCGAGCCACCCTCGCAAACTATTCGGACATCGTGCTCACGCCTCCATGCTGCCTACATGTTTCGTCCGGACGGCCACGATCCCCTTGCAGACATTCACTGCGGTGCCCATGGCCGTGCCCTCACCCCTGCCACACGACCTCGACCCCTGGTATAATTATATATAATTATATATACACACAACATATATATATATATATATATATGTATGGTTACAGCTATATATATATATATATATATATATATATATATGTAGCTACTTCCACTCCCCAAATGCCAGGACGATGTATTTACTATGGGGGGGTCGAGCGCGGGAGGGCGAGGCCACGGCACACCGGAGGCTATACATGAGACAGCTGATCCCGGCGATAGCCGCACACCTTCGAAGACACTGATGAGAGCCACCTGAAATCCGTGCAAACGAGAGAGAGCAAGGGAGGAGCGGGAGGGGAGGCTAGAGCGAGATGGCAACGGATGACCATCAAGTGCGGCAACTTCGCCGTGGTACGCAGCATACACTTGTTAAAAGGATCAGCTACTTCCACTCCCCAGATGCCAGGACGATGTATTTTATATGGGGACGAGCGCGGGAGGGCGAGGCCACGGCACACCGGAGGCTATACATGAGACAGCTGATCCCGGCGATAGCCGCACACCTTCGAAGACACTGATGAGAGCCACCCGAATCCCGCAGAGCAGTCCTGGCCACACCAGTGGCCGAAGACGAACTACGCACGTGTAATAACCTAAACTACCGAAAAGAGACTACGTGATTTTGAAAGCAGCATCCATCATCCATTTCTCTCTGAGAGCGTTGGCAGAGTGTGTCATGGCAAGGGCGGCCGAGCGGGCGAACTGAGGCGAGTAAGCCGCGGCCAGTTCGGTGCGGCGGGCGGGCGCACCTTTGTCTCGGCCTTGGAGGATGAGGTGAGGCAGGCCAGTGGATGAGCAAAAGCCTCCCTTGCCAGAGCACGATTTACATAAGCTGGGGAAGACGCCTGCATTCCAGCAGGCCACTGTAGTCGGCTTCTTAGAGGGTGTGCCGAATCGGCACATGTCCATCCTGTGAATGGCGCACGATGAGTCTGAAAGAAGCTTGACCATCTCGGGGGCGTGCCAGAGCAGCGACCCGCGAGGGTTCTCCAAAAAGACAGGGCAGCCAATCTGGATGCAGAGCCGGATGAGCCGGCAAGAAAAGTGGAACGAGCGATTGCCTAAGCGGAGGCGGTCCAGCCGAGGTCCTGACAGACCTGGTTTCCCCATGGGGAAACGAATGGAGCGCAGAGGGTCTCTGAGAGCCTGCGACCAGGACGTACAGGGAGTGCCCGGCCACAGACCTACAATGGCTTTGCTCAGAAGCCACCCGCGCACAACCGACTCGAACGTGGTGTGGAGGTGATCCTCACAGGCCCCGTGAGCGAGGTCCAGGTCCAGGCAGCCGTAGCCAAGGTCGCGGATGCGCTGGGAGATGCGACCCTGCCCTGCGAACAGCTCCAGAAACAGGCAGCTCCCCCACTTGCTGGCGCCAGCGCGGCCTCGGCGGCATCGCCGCTGCAGGTGAAGGCGCACGGCCTGAGGCGACGCCGTCAGCGCCGGCGGCGCCGCGTGGCGGCGGGGGCCCCGGGCCCTCCCCGCAGGCGGGGGCCAACGCTGGCAGGCAGCTCGGCCCATGCCAGCGGCAGCAGGGGGCCGCCCCGCAGCACATCCAGGAAGTTGCGCTCCACGATCTCGCCGAACAGCAGCACGTCGGGGTCCACCTTGGCGGCCTCCCGGAGGAGGCGAGTCTCCTTGCCGTAGCGGCGGAGCGAGGCCACTGTGGCCCAGCGGCCCCGCCGCATGACCTGCTCCGGCGTCCTGGCGCCCGACAGCAGGTCCTCGCTGGCGCCCCCGTGACGGAGAGAGTGCAGATGCGGCTGCAGGTGCATCAGGCCCAGGGCGTGGCACGCATCCTCGAAGAGCCGAGCAATCGACGTAGGCAGGAAGTCCCACAGGGGGCCGTCGCCCGCGACCGTCCTCAGCGCCTCCAGGGCTGGCTCGAGCCACGGAGCCTGGTCCAGCAGCACGCTCTCGTCCCAGAGGTTGGTCTTCCCGGGCAGCTGCAGGTCGGAGTCGTGCAGCCGCAGCCCCCACGGAGTGGGGGCCTGTCCCAGGTGGGCCACCGGCGGCACGAGGTGGCGCCCGGCCAGGCGGAAGGCCTCCTGCGGGCGGAGATACGCCGCGAACGCCAGCATCACGAAGAGCCCCATGCGCGGGTGGCCCCAGGCAGCCAGCGTTCCGGCGATGGCGAAGGCGGCCCGGCGAGGCAGCGGCAGGCGCATCCTGGTCGGGACGCGCCGGCGCCAGCCCGCCAGACAACGCGTCGCCCTTGGCAAGGCCTGCGCCGTCCTCTTGTACAGCGCCGGCGTGTAGTGCGCCAGCGACGCCAGCAGCACGGAGCCCTCGTTCGGGGCGCGGCCCTCGAAGTACATCGAGTTCAGGTACGTGACCAGGGCGACGTCCATCTCGGCCTCGCTCGTCCAGTCGATGGCCATGACCAGGCAAAACTGCAGGAAGGCCCGGAGGTACACCTGGTACAGGCGTTCCGTGCCCGGCCTGACCGCCGTGCGCTCCAGCACCGAGAGGCCGCCCGAGGGCCCCCGCTCGGACGCCACCTGGCGGGCCGCCGCAGCTCTGCGGTGGCGATCCGCCTGGCGGCGAGGCCGAGGCACCCGCCATCGAGCCCGGCTCCTGCAGGGGTCGGCCCGTCAGCAGCGGAGGGCCCCGCACGAGAGCAGCCAGGCTGGGCGGCAGCAGCGCGTCGGTAAGGCCCTGTGAAACAGCCTAAACGCCCACGAGAGAGAGCATCGGCAGGGTTGAACTCGCTGCACGTCCAGCGTATGTGAATAGTACCCAGAGGATCCAAAGATCTGCGCGACAGATCTGATGAAAAACCTCTTGGTTAGCTGGCATTGTTCTGTGTTACAGATCGGATGCTTCATCTGGTTAACCAAGACAGATCTAGCTTTGTTTGGCTCAACGATTCCTTATAACAAATTCTCATGTTTATGATATGATGGAGAAAAAACTGTATATATAGATATAGCGTTCAAAGTTAACACTTTCAGGGAAGTCGCAAGCCTATTCCTACAGCCTGGTAGCCCCGATAGGGCCAGCGGATCGATTTTCTGGGGGCAGTATACAGCCAGGCCTGGTGGTCCTTCAATGGGGCAGGTGGATTTTTCGCACGGATAGCACGTGGCACCGCGGGGTTCGACTGAAAAGGGGGAGGGGGAGGGGGAGGAGGAGGAGGGGGAGGAAGAGGAGGAGGAGGCGGAGGAGGAGGAGGAGGAGGAGGAGGAGGAGGAGGAGGAGGAGCAGCAAGAGGAGGATCCGCCTGCCGCTGCGTGCCTGCCGCTTGTGCCGCTGTCCCTCCCTCGCCTTCCCTCCCGCTCCTCGCTGGCTCCTCGCTCTGCGTGTTGCTGCGCGGCTTCCTGTCTTGCTGGCTTTCTCCTTCTGCCCCCTCTGCTTGCGGGGGGTCGAAGTCGACTGGTTGAGGTTTTGAAACCCTCGGAATCTGGGTGGGTTGGAAGCCCAACATTTCGTCTACAGGCCATTCCTAGGGTGGCGTCAGATCAGCTCAGAAGACTAGCCCCGAGAGGAGTTAGTAGCAGTAGTCCTCCTCCTCCTCCTCCTCCTCCTACTCCTCCTCCTCCTCCTCCTCCTCCTCCTCCTCCTCCTCCTCCTCCTCCTCCTCCTCCTCCTCCCCCTCCTCCTCCTCCTCCTCCTCCACCTCCTCATCCTTCTTCTTCCTCTGCCCCCGTTTCCACCAGCCCCCGTAGATCCATGGTTCGTGGCGTTATCTCCGCTCCTTTCTGCAGCCATTTGGGCGCGAGAGTCTGGATCGCCGCAGCGCGGCGCGAGGTTGAGGCAACGCTCCACCCATGTCAGAAGATGCCACGCAGCCACATCCTGAGATGCAAGCTCTAGAGCAGACGCTGCCAGATTCAGCGCCCTCCTTCCCAGCCGCGCGCCTGCCTCGCTGGAGCAGGATCCCGAAGGTGCAGGTTCCAATCGAGGTTGTCGACTCGCAGGCGCCGCTGCCGAGCATCAATCCGGACATCGCCGCCGAGCCGCTGCCGAGCATCAATCCAGACATCGCCGCCGAGCCGCTGCCGAGCATCAATCCGGACATCGTTCCTCCGCCGCTGAGCATCAATCCGGACATCGTTCCTTCGCTGATCGAGGAGGCGGCGGATCAGCACGACAGCGTGCAGTCCATCGCGAGCAGCGCAGCCGCGCACGACGGCGCACAGCCCATCGCCGCGGTCAGCGGCGCAGAAGCACCACAGCCGACGGCGCCAGTCAAGAAGGAGCCAACTTTCTGGCCGTCTTTCGGCCGCCAGCTCGGAGGCGCCATCGACCTCGGGTCGGATTCGGATGCAGAGCCAAAGTTCTCCCAGCTGCCAGACAGGCAGCCCAGCTTCGTCGGCGATGAGGTGCCAGCCGAGCAGAGCGCGCCAGACCACGGCGACTCGCAGCAGGTCTCCGACGCGGAGCCGCTGCAGATGCACGAGCCGCTTCAGAGGAAGGACTCCGACTCGGAGCCGCTCGACGCCCTGAGAGAGGAGAGCATCAGGCTGGAGCAGGAGAGGATGAAGAAGCAGGAGGCGCTCGCCAAGCAGGAGGCCGCACAGCTTCATGAGGCGAAGCTGGCCAGTTGCCGCGACCTCAAGATGGGCAGCGCCATGGTTGCCCTCGAGCTCGGTCGCAGCCAGGACAGCCGCTTAACCTCTCTCATTCTCCGCATCTCGGTGCGACGCATGCAGTCTTGTTCCCATGACTTTTCCACCGTCCCCGCCTGCTCCTCCTCCTCCTCCTCCTCCTCTTCCTCCTCCCCCTCCTCCTCGTCCTCCTCGTTCTCCTCCTCCTCCTCCGACTCCTCCTCGTCCTACGCCACGTCCTCATCTACCTCCCCGTCATCCTCGCTCATGTCTTCCCGAGCTTCCCCCCTCCCTCATCTGGCTCATTGCCCCACCCTTGGGAGGGGGAGGA